ATGATGTACCTGAATGAGAACATATCGGGTTGGAATCAGTGCAACGGCTCAGCTTCAATCAGCACACTACAACAGAGCGAGCGTTATGTTAGCTTTTTAACTTGGCATATGAAGTGTTTTATAATGAAATTAAAAGTGCCAAAATTAGTGCCAGGCACGTATCTAGTAAATATTAATTGCACTCTATCTAAGTTAATAAAAATTATGTTTTATCGATTGCTAACATCTTTCTACTCGGTGTGCTGAAGAATGAAACTCACCTCTTGTGCAGCTTTCACAGACTGGCACTGAGTGCAGTAAAAATCATGTTTTAAAGATCATACAATGAAGGATACAATAATAAATGATGTACCTGAATGAGAACATATCGGGTTGGAATCAGTGCAACGGCTCAGCTTCAATCAGCACACTACAACAGAGCGAGCGTTATGTTACCTTTTTTTAACTTAGCACATGAAGTGTTTTATAATGAAATGAAAGTGCAAAAATTAGTGCCAGGCACGAATCTAGTAAATATTAATTGCACTCTATTTATCTAAGTTAATAAAAATGATGTTTTATCTGTTGCTAACATTTTTCTACTCGGTGTGCTGAAGAATGAAACTCACCTCTCGTGCAGCTTTCACAGACTGGCACAGAGTACAGGAGCCAGCAGCATATAACCAGCCACACAGAGAGGGGGCGCTATTTCCCCATTGCACTGATACATAAAGCAAGTGGGATTCTACAACCTAATCACTGTTGCACAAGTTCCTGCAACTTTCAGTGTGTTTTACATGAACAGCAACCATATTGACCTTAAAGTCCAAGAGCTTGCTTGCAGAACTCCAAGTTTTCTTTAGGATTTCAGACCATTTAATTTCTGTGTCTGAAATATCATCTTCTGAAGACAAAATGCATGTCAAAATGCATAAACTATCACCTTATGAAGTGATGAAAAGCTTCTTCATGATTTAATTTGTGTTTAATTTGTGTTTTTTTTTGTTACCCTAAAAAATATCAAGGTTTTCTTAACCTTTGAGGAACACATGGGTCATGGAGTTTCCATCAAACATTAATGTAGTGATCTAAATCAGAACAAAAAATGTATTCCTCTTTCTCTAAACACGGCTACTAGAGATAGCTCCAATGATGAATGGCACCACAGTGGCAAATGTTTTATCTTTTTTCAGACTGAAAGCAAAAGAAATGTTTAAAATATACTGTTTTCTAATTTCTGTCCTCAGTGTGTCCATCTGTCCCGTGTCCTGTTGAAAGCGTCTGCCTCAATGGCACTTGCCAGTGTCTCTCTGGCAACTACCTACTCAATGGACGTTGTGTTCCTGGTAAGACCGCTAAATTATAAATCTTATAAATGATGCTGTTTGTCCTTTGATATTTATACAAATTATAAACAAGTTTAATCTGTGGCAGAAATGACAGTCCTTTCTTTTTGGCAGCACAAGTATTCCCAGGCAGGCTTCACTTCCAGTCGTTAACATTTGAAGCTCAAATGAGAGACAGGTCCTCCAGGATCTTTCAGGAGACAGCAGCAAACATCTCAGCAGCGGTGAGTTGTGAGATCTCAAAGCAGCGAAGTAGCTCTTATAGACGCTTCATTCTTGCTCATTAATTGTATTTTCTTCGCTGTAGCTCAGAGACGTTCTGAAAGATCAGCCTGGATATAGACGATCAGAGGTTGTTCAGCTTGAGTGAGTATTCTTTCTTTCTGTTGAACAAAGACTTTGTGTAGCATGTAGCATCTCAACTCTGTTGGTGATTGTTTTCCCTATTTCTCCAGACCTGGTAGTGTGATAGCGAGCGTAAATAATATATTTGAAGACAGCCCTGCCACTCAAGCCTCTGTTGATATGCTCATTGAAGAGGCTGTAAAAAACCCTGAAGGATTTCTGAACAATGCCGCATACACAGGCAAGAACTGGCTCCATGCTTTACATCTTCTCTTGAAATTATTTTCTCATGAGTTTCTTTTGTATTTCCTTGGCTTCAGGAACCAATCTGTGCGAGGTGGAGCCACTACCTTGTGATGTCTCTAGTACAAAGTGCACAAATGCAAACGGCCAAGCTTCTTGCTCCTGTAAAGACGGTTACATCTCCATGATCTACTCCAACACCAGCTGCAAAGGTACATTTAGCATCTAATGTGTCATATGTGTTTTTATGGTCCTTACATTGTTTATATATTTTATAGCAAATTCTTGTTGACACAGGGTCTTCATGTCTCACACACTTTATCACATTTACACATTACAGAAACAAACATCCATATATTTTATTTGGATTTTATCAGATTAGATTGAACACACAATCTGACAGATAGAATAAAGAGCATCTCCAAACATCAAATTTTATGTTTTTTCACAGATTCTCAATTAGTTTTGTGTCTGGACTTTGACTGGACCATTCTAACCTGTGAATTTGCTTAGAAATAAACATTTAAATTACACCTGTGCCCATTTATTTACTCCATCATTATATTTCAGCCTCTAGCAAGTTATTTTTTAGTACTGACTTTAAATTGTGCACTACTTTGTGGTATCCTGCATAAAATCCAAATAAAATACATTTATGTTTGTGGCTGTAATGCTACAAAATGTGATTGTTTTAACAGATGCTGTATGTGTTATTAAAATGTCCTGTAAATATTGTAAAAGTGGACAAAGTTGAATGTTCATGTCTAGAGAACAACAACAAAACCTTCTTACCCTCATTAAATTACTTCTGTGTGGGAATGAGGGAAAGAAACAACAGGGAGTAAAACTCACAGGCAAGGTCAAGAGCTGTAGCCTTTTCTCCATGCAGACCCTTGACCCAATCTTCATTTATCTCTCTAATCTATTTCTTTTTAACTGGGATGTTACCCTGGAAACATAAGGAGGAATCACCGCTTTGCCTCTGAGCATGCAGGGATGTGACCAATGAGATCGACTGTAGGGAAATCCGTAACTGAATAAGATTCAAATGAATTCTGCTAACAGAAAATACATAATGTACTGTTGTGTGTTTGCTTGTAGAAGTCCTAATGTTGCCTCTGGAGTGTGGCAAACCTGAAACTGTAACTTGTTCTGCTCTCCAGTTGTCTGCATAGTGCAACTGAGTTGTTGTGTTTCTTTTTTTGCAGCTTGTCCAAGTGGGCAGCAGGCAGTACAGGATAAGTGTATGACGTGAGTATGCACTTTTCACACAAGGGGCTTTGTATTGAGGTTAAAGTACTAGCGCCCCCCGGTGGGCATATTGTTGAATGCATTGCCGTAAATATGCCTGTTTTCTTTCAGATGTCCTTTTGGGTATGCTGGCTTCAACTGCAATGACTGTAAGTGGCTTCGTTCAGTGTGAAGCTTGAGTTTTAGCCTGTTGTGCAAAGTTTATTAAAGACTTTACCTGTGTTTGCAGCATCCCTGCTTGCAGTGGTGATCATCTCCTGCGTGTTAGGAGGAGTTCTCCTCATCCTTGTTCTGGCTTTGCTGGGTTACTGCTGCTGGTAAGAACATACATCACATAGCCTGGACAGGATAACTGTCACGTATATGCATAAGTTTTAAAATGATTTATTATTACACATTTATTTATTAGTAGTTTTTCACAAAAAACTTGCATTTTAATAGTTGCATGTACATTATTGAGCACCACCTCCAGCGCAAATGATGGTAAACATTTTTACCCAGCAAGGAAGGGAGAAAGTGCTAGACACACAAAAACGTTTAAAAGTCCTTCAGAAAATCTACTGAGTGCTTTAAAGTAGCAAAATAATGTCTAACTCTCAACAAAGAATCATTATCTGAACTTACATTGAATTAGCAGAATAAAAATAGCACCAGACAAACATTTTATATTCCCTGCTTTCTCTGTGTTTATCAGGAAGAGGTGCTCGAGGCCCATTCCTGACCGCAACGTCAGTCCATACTCTGATGAGTTAAACAAGTCATGGTCTATTGGCATCACCCCAATCCCGCGCGCCACCACGCACTGGGAACCAGCTGGTTCCATAGAGATGACAGAAGGGGGCAGCACCAACACGCTGGTGGACAAAAAGCTAGAGAGCAATGGCTTTGTAAGTTGATCCCATCTTTGGTTTAGACCAGCTGCTCAATTATCACTGTAGTCACCTACTAACCTTCACCAAAAACACAAACTTGGTTATTTGCACTTTGAAAACACCTGAGTAACTTGCTTAGTTGTATCACAATAGAACTTTCTGTGGGTTTTAGATACACTCTAAAGGTTTCTGATTGCCCTTTATCACTCTGAAGCATTAACAACACATTATGTTTTTAATCCTATTCACAGCAGTGCGTTTAATCTAGTCATCCAGTATGTGAACACAGTGATCCTAGCATTAGCACCCACCCCTGCTCCCTGCTTTGCCTGACTTACAGTATGTTGCTTTAGGGATCACAGCTGATGCAGAAAAGATGGAAAAAGGTAAGGTATGGCTTTGCTTTCAGATTCCAACTTCCCTTGATGCCCCCTGCTGATAATTTAGACAGCATGCATGCATAATCATGGTGGTGTTTCAGGGTGATGGGGGATCTTTGCCAATTTTTTATTTTGTTGGTTTTGTTCTCGAGGTCGATTGTAGCTAATTTAGTTCCATGAATAGCAATAAATAAGTAGGGTTATGAGTGTTTGTGTGTTAGGCTTGTTTGGGTCTAAACACGTTAAGTTGCTGTTACTTAAAAATAATAACACTCTGTGCTTCCCCTGACATTTCAGTCAGGATCGTACGATCTGAATCCAGAGGACATGAAGACCTTCAAAGGTAAAAACACGTCCCGTTACTCATACCTGGTCGAAGGGCATGAGAACCCCTACTTCCTTCCTGGCGATGAGAAGAGAAACTCCACAAAGCAATGATGATCAAACTCTCTGGGACAACTGGAAAACTTTCTGGGCAGGAAGAGGGCTTTTTATAAACACTCTTCCATCCTGAACCTGCTTGGATAGATGAAGAACTGTACTGAAAAAACTGCAACCAAAGGGATTCAAGTTGAGATGTTTTTATTATGCTATTTTTTTTTATTTTTTTTTTGTAAATGTGTGAATCATGTCTGCTTTTAAGAAGTCCGGCTAGTAATTGTCAACTTTACTCATTAATATCAATGCAAGTTCTCTTTTTTTCACCCTGTTTTTTTTTTTTAATAATCATGCCTCCTTTGCTGATTGCACTAAAGTTTACCTCTACTTTGATCATTTTGAAGGTGAATTGAATGCTGGTTTTATAAAGTTACTGTAGCTAATCTTCAGAATGGGATGATCACTTTATAGAGAAACAAATCTTGTACGACTAAAAGGGCTGGATCCCTGGTTTGAATTGTTTTTAAAAATGTTGTAGCAGTCTAATTCTGAGAGTATTGCAGAATGTGCCTGGTTTAGTCGTCCGTTCTACAAATAGGAAACATTATGCAACGCTGGTGATAAAGCCTGTCTCCTGGATGTGCCAATTACCACTTGTATACTTTTTTCGGGGGAGAATCTATATTAATATATTTATCTTTATGTGGCATACACTGTTTTGTAAGTTAAATTTCGTTTTGTAAATATTGTAAAATTTATCTGAGAGTGTGTGAGTGAGTGTGTGTGTATGCGGGGGCTGACTGGTGAAATAAAATAATTTAAACACATGAAATGCGTTTGTCGTCATTGCTGCATTTGGCAAATAAATCACGCCAACATAAGGAGGTTTTTACCTATTTAGTAGACTTTACTCGTTTTTAGCCCATTGTTTTGTTATTATTTCATTTCCGATTGTTTCAGGTATTTGTAAAGGAATTATTTAATGTTATTAAATAAGAAATTATTGGTTTTTCCTATATTTTCTGACGATAGTTTCAGTTTGACTTCCTGTTTTATTTTGAAATGCTCAGTTTTGGTTAATCTAACTTCCTGTTTTTCGTCGACAGCCTCAGTAATCACTCTCACCTGAGTCACAGTCGTCTCTGGCTCAGTACACGTTGTCGCACTTATTTTAAAAAGAAACTTATATTTTCTGTGTAGCTGGTCCAGCGCTTTTACTGGAACTTCTTTTCTTATTATTTAGCTGGCTGCATCCCGGTATTTGATCTTAAAGGTATGTACATTTTCCAAGTAATTATAGTCCTTCTGTGCTAAAATTTTTGTGCTTAGCAAATTAAAAACTCCAGAACATCTACTTATATCTAATATTTCGTTTGATACCATGGAGAATATTCAGCACATTGGTTCCAGGATGAGTTTTCCAGTATTATGAATTAAAAAACAATATTTTTACTTCTGGATTTTGTCTCGTTAGAACCTCAAACTTCCAAATTTGGATTTATGTGATAGACCAGCACAAAGTAGCAGATATCTGTGCAGATGTGAAGAAAATATTTTTACAAATTCTACCCTGAAAAAGGTTCTTATGTTTTTGTTCAGTCAATACTCGACCTTGAAATCATTTTTTTTTTCCAAGCTTGGTTTTCTTTTATGATCTGCTGTCATTCCTAACCATCATCCCAGCTGAATAAAAGCATTCCCACAGCATGATGCAGACCCTTCTATGTTTCACCATATGCTTGATGTGCAGTTTTAGTTTTTGCCATGTCGACTCAGACTTTTCCTGGCTTTCATCCAACAATAACTTTTTATCTTAATCTTATCTTCTATAAAGACGACATTTGTAGAGTGCATAATTTTCTTCCATTGAACAACTATGAAACAGTTTGTGTTGGCGTGTCATATAAAGTCCATTAAAATATATGAAATTAGTGGTTGTAAAATGACAAAACATGAAAGTGAAAGGGTTGAAGTGCGTTTTCAAGTTTTCTGTATTTAAAACTGCATGCGAGGCCTTGAACTGCAATTAGCATGAAATCTCGTCCCTAATGAGGCTCTTTCTCTCAACCAGGTCACGGTTTTCATCTGTGAAGGAATGCATTGTGTTGTGGGGCCATTACCATCCTGCCAAGCGCTGCTCCCATCTGCAGCTCAGTCCATCAGTTCACAGGCTCAGCTGACTGATCGATAGACCACTTAGCAGCCGTGAGGTACACACTTCCCAGTCATTTGACCTGCAGGAGCCGTGGGGATGGGAACACAATCTGATAAGCATTGAGCCGCAGAACCAAACGCGCCTGACTGACAACTTAAGGAACTCCCCTCGCGCGTCCAGACAGAAGCAGAAGCTCGACAGATCAGGTGTCACAGCTGTGGTCGCACACTCATGCAGATAAAATGTGGCTTAATTACTAAGGGTTATAAAAAGAGGAGAGTTAAACACATTAAGAAGAACAGTTTCTATTCAGGTTATTTACATGACATAGCAAAGCCAGATGCAGGAAATGGTTGCACTGCAGGACTTTAGTTCATTATTTCAGATGAACAATTTCCTAAACAGCTCAGTAAAAGAAATAATGATAAATAATTGAAAAGTTTTTGTTAAAACTGATTGTTCTTGTGAATGTGTCTGGTTTTAATCTTGAGTATAATTTGATTGTTGGACTGCTGCTGCGGAAATGGGATTCTTGACCCAAACACAGTTTGTACATAATAAATAATGACATTTCCTGTCAGTTGTAAGGCGTTATACACGATGACAATTAAATATTTTATTATAGTTTGATGTCATTAAATTAAATTTATACAGTGTTCTACAAAAATGTTTCTACATTTGGTCCAGCTACAACCTCATACACTGATCTATTTCATTGGACATTTTGGTGAATAAACACTTTTTGGTTGTATACACATACATGCTTATTTGGACAAAATGTTTGACAAATAAAATATAAAGTGTCTGGTACTTTACTCCATCTGAACCAATATTTTGCTGAACTACTTTCCTCTCCACCAGCTTTCAACACAACAAAACAGGAGTGTTTTCACATCTAAATACAGATATTCAAATGGAAATAATAGACTTTGACTAGACCATTCTGGGTATGGTGTAGGTGCTTCTCTGATTGACCCAGTTTTCTGTAGTTTTGCGTAGTGCATGGCTGATGAGTTGTTTTTATTTGAATTTTCCTGATGATTAATAGTAACTACTTTCTTATTTTAAAGGAATTTACTTGATTCAGAAGTATTTTCTTATAAATTATTGTTTAGGTTAATGGTTTCCACATGTAAAATAACTTTCAGAAATTATTCAAATTTGTTACATTTGTAACTTAAAACTCAGGATTTTAGGTGTATTTGAGTTCAAAGTCTGGGGATGTTTGTGATGCCGACTCCAGACCAAATCCTGGCATATGAAGCAGAAGACGGTTTCCAACCACTTGAGTTTACACAGTGATACTGACAAACAAACAATCTCAGAAATTTCTGCCAAAAACCCCAGAAAGGAAGCTGAAACCACCTGCTCCTTTCTCACTTCTGAGAGTGATCAGACCCTCCCTCTCCTCCTCCTGCTTTTCTCTGAGTAACATTGCGGGCCGTAATTCACTTTGTCTAATGCAGCTCTGCAGCAGCCACTGAAGCGGTTATGAAACATTTCCCAGCACCAATGCAGCTCTCAGCCATAACTCCTTACTTGTCACTAAAACCACCATTTGTTCCTTTTTAAACTCTGCACCACTACTGAGCAACTGGGACATTTTAAAAACTTCATCTCCATGTACATGTATAAAGTAATTTGCTTTCCTGGTTTTCAGTGTGAATCATCTAAATGTTCTTTGAGGGTGTTTATATTTTGTCCCTGCAGGACAGCAAAAATTGTTTTTTTTCTTCTTTTTATAACCATTTTGCTCGTTTTAAAATGTCTGTTGTTCTCGTTCTGTTGAAAATTCACTTTGGGCTAAGCGTTAGTTGTCGGATAAATGATCATCTATCTGACTCTGAAATACTTTGTTGTACAGAGAAGTTTGTTGTTGAATGGATGACATGAGTTATTATCATCATATGCTGTTTTCATCCCTTTTTAAATATAATTGCTGCTTTACACTGTGGCTTAGCCGATGGTGTTACTCAAATTTGTCTTGTCACAGACAAAAAACGAACAAAAAACTGAAACTTTTTGCTTATAAGATGGTTCTTTTTTCCTATTTTGTCCCTGGGACTGTCACTCTTGAGTAGATTAGCAACTTTACTAAAAAAAAAAAGATATTTCTGTTTTGCTCTAGAAGTAGTATATCCCAGATTCTCATTGTATTATTTGTTGTCTTTGTTATTCGCAGTGGATGAGAGTAGTCTGAGGTCGTGGGGAACTAGGAGTGCCGTGAGAGAGAGAGACTAGAGAGGGCAGACGGGCAGTAATATTGACGAACCCGGGAGGCTGAGTGAGCAGCGAGAAAGACGTGGCGCCGGGCGGATATTAAAGGACATTAAGCCTCCTACTTCCAGTCAAATGGCAGCGATTTGCTGAAAGGGAGAGCAGTAAATATGATAGCAGTTAATATCATACAGAGAGGTGATACCAACCTCCCTGTTAATCTGTCTCCACTCAGAAGTGTTTGCTCAGCTGCCATTATTTTTCATTTCCTTTCTCACCAAAGGCTATAATAACTCACCTGCGTAAAAAATGCATGTCTTAGTTTTACTTCAAAACACATACTTTATGACCATTTTCTCTGTTCTTTTTCTTCATTGAATTAATTTTGCATTCATTAGGCTGTTTCTGACAACTCTGAGAACTAACGCCTACTCTTGCTACATAAATATGTAAAGATATACAAAACAAACAAATCTGATCAAAATTAGAGCTATTTGAAGACCCAGACTCTTTGTTTTTAGACATGTCATGTCTTTAAAGCTTGGTCCATGCTTTTCACATTGCTACACAGTGTAAGAAAAAAAACTTTATCCTTAGGGTAAAACTTAGGGTAACATTTGCATAAAGGACCTGTTTGTTAAAAACTAATTACAGCATTTTATATTACTTTTTCTCAAAAATTGATGTTTTTCTACAACCTTGCAAAGTAAATGAATCATTTTAATATAATTTCAAAGTAAGTTAGACAGTAGGAAACGCTACTAAAAGGCTTTGTAACCATGCAGAAAGATTTTACTGGAGATTTTTTTTCTTTGTTGCTGCTCCTGTTCCTATAAGGAGATACTCTGTGTCCTCCTTCCTCCTGGGTTATTATGCATCTCCAAATAGCTCA